AATTTTCAGCAGGGATAAGAACCTGTCAGCTAATTCACCTCAGAGGTGGCAATTCGCACAGGCTATACTGGGAACAACATATTCAGTGGTAGGATATGGGAAAATTTTGCAGAAATACTGAAGCAAGTTAGGAGCTGCAATATCAGTAATTTGGAATTTGTCACGTACCTGCTTTAAGATATAAATTAGATTGCACCTGGTCAGATAATACAGTTGAGAGGCCCAGAGCATGCTACTTCCATGCAACCTCCTCTATCATTCTTTGAACATTTGTTAATCTCCTCACTTGTGCTGTTTCTTTCTAAAATAACATTCCAAAGAAAGGGAAAAGAATGGGACTAGGAGATGCTCTCAGCAGTATGCTTCCCCACTTCTGCAGTTTTAAACAACTATGCTGCTTCTTGTGGGTAGCAAAACAGGTAACAAACAAGCTGCCTATCAGTACCAACTTGTGCACTTTTTTCCCTTTATTAAAAGAACAGTTGCAAACATTGCTAAAAGAAGTCTTAAGGGTTGCTTAATTACATAAGATGGCAATAACAGAATATTTAGAATATTCTTGAATGTGTCTCAGAGGACAAGTAAGTGTTCATATGACAATAGGAGAATATGTTGTTCTGTTCAAGAAGGTAAAGCCATTTTACTGGATCTCAGTTTTCAGGAGACTGGCAGTAGAGTGCTCAGCTCAGCTCTCCCTGCTTTGCTCAATCACAGCTGTTTGGTGACAACACCAGTAGCTCACTTCCTACATAGATCTGCAATATAAACTGTAAGAGGACTGAACTCACATATTTTCCACTGCATTGACCATGTCTCTTCATTAGAATTGAATAATTTTTCACCTTATTTGAAACCATTTAGAGGCCACAAGTGACTATGTGGTAACTAAGGACTGTAGCTTGAAAGTAACTAAACAGTAAATGCGGCAACCTTGTTAAATCATGAAAGATTTATTTTCATTACATATACATGAAGGTAAAAGATTTCAGTCAATAGTGTTTTGAACAAGCGTTTCTGACATGAGCTTGTTAGTGTAGCTAGGCTGAAACTGAATGTAAAGTTAGTGTTTTGCCTTTATTTAGTAATTCACTTCTAGTGTGTATATACAGAATTCATTTTCCTGTTAGAATACCAGAGACAATAATATTGCAACATTTACATTCCTCATATAAAATGGTGTAATGTACATTTTCAACTTGGTGTAGATCTATAAATATGTACAAAGTAAACATTATTGTAATTATTATATTTCAGACAAGTTATTATTTAGCAACATCAAAAGCAGATGCACATAGATTTAAGTGAAAGTGGTGAAAACACCTTTATGACATTAGTGACCATTATTTGCATATATGAAGTACTACAGATAGAGGCTTCTCTTTCAAGCTTTCTGTGGGCATCCAATAACTTTAGTAAAAAAACAGGAGTAATTGAGAAGCATAAGGTAATTTTATATATGTGTGTGTCACGGTCAGATGGTTTACTAGGGTCCATCTTGATCACAAAAGGATAACAATGTAAAACATACACTTTTGTTCAGAGCATAAAATATTGCACAAAAGCAATTTCTTTTGAGGAAAATAATGCCCGTGTTTGTGAACAGCAAAAATGGTTCTTATGCACTAAAGAAATAATATATTTGCAGCTTCTAAACCAAAGAACATTCAGTAATACTGTCAGAACTCTCATCCATCAACTTCTTCCCAACCTTTTTATGACAATGGTATGTCATTAGCAAGATTTGGCAAAGAGAGAAGGCAGATAGACAGTACATCTATATATTTATCACAGGCCAGACCAGATCCAAGAGTTGCCCAAGCGAACTGCTGGATGGCTTCAGTTACCTGACAGTTTCAACCTTAAAGAAATAGGAAAGTCTTCAGTGCTGGTCACAGTGGTAATCACACAGTAGTAGAATAAGATTCCATTCTTCTCTGCTTAGAAACCATCTTGTCTGAATTCCCAGTCTGAAGGGCACTTTCCTCAGTATCACTGTCACTGCTGTCTACAAGTGTGTGATCCAAAGCCATCTGACCAGTCCTTCTGGGTAGATGAAAGTTCACCCCACTCTCCTGGATGGAGTTAGTTATAAAATCTTCATCAGAAGAATGAAAAGATTCATCGTCTCCTGTGAAATGGTTGACAATGTGAATCCCATCAAAAGTGGGTTGGTCTGAGAAGTCTCTCTCTCTGGCCTTTTAGGCATTTGATCTGTTTGAAAAAGTGGAAATTTACAGTTACTCATAGCTCAAGTCCGGTAATAAAAAACTCCAAACAACCAAAACCAAACACATTTTAAAGAAACGTATCATTGAACTCTTAGTGGATAAAATTAAATGCTAGATCAGGAAGTAGATTGTTTGATGATTACTTGAAGTGTTGCAGTTTTAAGGCTTAATAATCAAGGTATCTAGAATCAGTAATGACATATTCCTCTATTTACTGCATCTTTAATATCCCCACAAGGATGGTTTCTGTTTTCTAGAGTGGCCTGTTTGTTTTGACAGGACTTTTGGCCTTTAACATCTTACTTTTACAGCTCTATTCTCTCCTGTATCACCTGACTTCTCCCTCGAGAAATCCCTCCCCCTGTTCCAAAGAGGAGGGTCCCAAGTGAATATTGCCAGTTTCACATAGTCACAGAAGAAAATCCCAGAGAATATGTTCAGTTCTGTCTACATTGCAAGATTGTCTTAATTATCTAGTTCAGATCCAATGAGATTTCAGATCAAGCAGTATGAAACATGTCTTCATACAGCATAGATAGATTATAGTTGCAATTTTAAGAGAACATCAAACAAGACAAAAATGACTATCAGACCATAGACAGATAATATTTAATTCAATGCACTATGGAGTGATACACTATTACAACCACGCATGCAGGCTATTCAAAGCTAAAACTTAAAGTGCTGAAGTCTCTTGTTAACCCATGGAAGTCATTCCAGAGGTGGGTTGGTTTTGTGGTGTTTGTTTATTTTGTAATTTCATTTCTATTAGCTTTTAGTAGCAACTAC